AGTTGTAATTAATTTTGACTAAAATTTTATAATATATAAAACAAATTGTACTTTTTATAATAGTAAAATTTTAGTAGTTAAAATATTTAAAAAAATTATACTTCTATATGTTGTAAAATTTCTCCCAGTTGGCTCAAATTTTTTCCAGTTACACAAAACAATTGATTTTGATTGGTTGATATCATATGATTATCATATGATTTTTGTAAACAACTTTTGATACCTAAAATTTAAACATTTATATCTTGCTAAATATTGAACCAATTTTAATAATTTTACTATTATTAGAATCAGAAAAACTTGCTCTATAATTTTTACTTAATAGCCTAAAATAATTGGTTTAATAAAATTTTGTAAAATTTTTAAAAAAAAAATAAATACCACGAGATTATATATAAGTACCCTACCCTTAATGAATTTACTATCATTCGAATCAGAAAACCTATTCTACAAAATTTAAATAATAATTAAAATTAGTTTACTTAATAAAATTTTTTATAAAATTAAATATAAAAAAAATTTGCTATTAAGTTTATATATAAGGCCACACAAATTTAATATCTTAGTTTTCATAACATGAAACTTTTAAACAGACCCAGCCGGCCGGCTTTTTTTTTTAATTTTCATATATAAAAATTTTATAAAATTTTTTAAAAATTTTTTAAAAAACCTACCCGGTTATTAAAATATATAAAAATTTTTTTTTACAAGTTTTCAAATTTTGACCCAGCCAGGTTATGAAAACCAATTAATTAATTTTGCATAGCCTAATTTTAAAATAGTACTGTCTATTCTTAAGAGTTTTAACTAATGATCAGCCTGGCTGATTTTATTAAATATCAGCCTATTATATAAATTATATAAATTTTTTATTATAATATAATATATGTTATAGGTTTTTAGTGCTATACAACTAGATTACCAAAAAATAATATATTCGGCCCTATACAAAATGTTCCTAATACTATTCTACAATGCTATAATTAAATCTATTTTATATGCCCAGTCTATTCTTGAGCATAGTAAAGATAGACTTTTGTTCATTCAAGAATTATATACAAGACTTTGAAGTTATCTTCTAGTTTAAAACCCATATACTATTGTAAACCTATAGTTAAAGAATTAAACAGTATATTACCTGTAAACCTATTTGTCATATCGAATTGGTATAGTTTTAAGAATAAAATAAAAGTCTAGTTAGTTGAAATATTAGAAAAAGAAAAAAAAACCAACCCGAAAAAACTTACTCATAAACTAACTCAATTTGCCAAATATAATCACACTCTTTGTCTAAGCCTATCATTGGTACCATTTTCTAGTCAAAACCAACTTTAACTTTAAAATACCAACAAGAACCACCAAATAACACCACTACCAGTAAACAACTTGGCATAAGTAAACAAATCAACAATCAATACAACTACACAACACTGGTAAAAGCAAAACATGAGAAACAACAACCTTATTAAATATGATAACAATAAAATGTAAATGCTAATAAGTGATTGAAAGTGCATACAAAATACTAGAAAAGTAGTAGCACTATCAAAAAAAATCTATAAGTAAGAATGATATAATAGCGAATGGTGAAACTGAAAAATGATAAAATAAGAAATATACTATAAATAAAGTCTAAAGCAGAGGCGAATTCATATAATCACAGCAAATCAAATTATAGAATTTTGATGATTGCTGGCAAAAAAAAATAAGAAACCAAAAGAAAAATCTAAAAAATACAAAAAACGGTAGTCTAAACTTACTACCAGTAGATTAATTAAAAATATTGGGAAGACAATTTGCTTTTATATAACTACCTAAAACCTAATTTAACCCTAATATAAGATGACTCTAATCCTAAAGTTAATTGTGAAAATTATTAAGAAATATAAGTTGCTCCGCTTTAGATATCCCCTATAAATATGAAATAGACTAGAAAAACCCTATTTGAAAGCAAGTATCAGATGGTGGTTTTCTAGTCTATTTTCTAAACAACAATAATACTAATAGCAAAATTACTAGTCAAAGAGTGACACCATAAATAATGATGACAACAATGACCAAAAGGTACCAATAACAGTGATACTAACAATAACTAAAAAGTACTAATAATGACAATGTCAATGACTAAAAGACACCAACCAGAGCGATAATACCAATGATAACACCAGCAATAGCAATAATACTATAAAAAAAGTACTGATTAGTAAAAAAAGATAATAAAAGGCAACATAAACAAAAAAATTATATTTGTGTTAATTAGTATAACTTTAGTTTATTATATATATATATAGGAATGATTTTTAATAAAATCATTTAGGCTGATTTTAAGAAAATCTCAAAATTTAAATTAGCAATATATAACTTTTAAAAACTAAATTTATAAAAATTTTTATAAATAAAAATTTTTAAAAACATATTTAATAAAATAATAAGTTAACTATAATAAGAAATAATTAATTTAAATATAAAAAATTAATATTTATAACTTAATATTATTATGTATATTTTTTTAAAAGTTGGTTTAACAATAATATTAATTAAATAAATTATTATTTATAAAAATTTTTTACTTGTTATATTAATATAATTGTATCAAAATATATAGAGTATAATTAATAAATATAGCTTATTTTTATAATTTTTAAAAATTGAGTTTTTATTAGATTCATATAAATTTTAATATAATTAATATTTTTAATTATAAATAAAATTAATTTGTATAATAGAAAAATTATATGAAACTATATAGAGCCAATATATTATAAAATTACCTAATAGTCACTTGTTATTTTTAATTAATTAAAATTATAAAATTTGATTAGTTCTGGATCAATTTAAAAATTAAAACAAGGGTTTGGACCCTGTAGCTTATTGATTAAGCTTTCAAACCTCTATAGACAAGGTTGACAATTCAAATTTACCTGGAGGTATAAAATCTGTAATTTTTAATCTTTTATAAGCCAAATAATGAAAGTGCTATTTCAGATACAGAATCCTATAAAAAATCTAAGTACAAGTATAGTTCTAAAATAAAAAATCCTAGAAAAAGCTCTAATTATAAAGTGATACTATTATGTATGTTTCTCACAGAAGATCTAGGTTGTAAAAGATTGCACAAGTAAGTTTTTTAGTTGGAATGACCTAGAGGCAACACCAACATCCCTTTGCATCTAGTATAGACAGTACCAACATCTCTGCACCTAACTTGTGAGATACTTGCTTAGAAGAATAATTAATAAATTGTATATATCAGTTCTAATTTAGATTAGTATTGGGTATTTGCTTAAGAGAGTGATATAATACTACCAAACTGGAGTAGTGAGAGAAGTGGTGGATATATGAAATAGCTATAAAAAAGGATTAGCCTTATCTGAATTGGAAGTATCTCTGGTATTGTGAAACAATTAACTGAAGAAAGTAATTTTATAGAGGCAGGCTAGCTAATCTAATATATCTAAAGACACCAAGTCAAGGCTTTGGTTATATCTATATAGAAGTTTATGATAAAAGAAGCCAGAATATACCAACGATAATGCAATATTAACCAATAAATGAGAATCTAAATTAGAAGTTAATATGAATTAAAATACGCTTTCTAGTAACATAATGCAAAGTCTATAGTTGAAATAGGATCTGAGTTTATCTTGATTTTACAAAATATGATTTTGGCAATATACTATATGAGAAAGTACAAATAGATTAGTTGGTACTACTATATCAGAAAAAAAGTTAAATCCTGAGATAGCAAACCAGTAGTAGCAGCAAGGCTTGGCTTGAGATACAGGTTAATAGTACTTAAGCAGATAAGTAAAAGATTTTCTGCCAATTAGCATAAATAGCAATATAATATCAACTCTGTTATATAGCAAACTTAACTAGACAGCAAGTTCTTGGCTTAAGATATGAGACTGTAGAAAGGTTATCTGCACCAATTACAGTTATAGTTGAGAAGCACAAATCTATATGATATATGTATAAAGTATAGACTACTCTAGTAGGTTTAGGTTATAGATAAATTAGTCTAAGTCTTTGCAGTTTGTAAGTTAATATATATATAATTGTAATTATAATCAAAGCTATATATTAATAAAAACCAGAGATATGACCTCACCTTGATATTAAAAAAAAAATTAAAACAAATGATTAAACTTAATTATTTTAAAATAATATATATATAAAAATAGACAGTTTTTATTGATAACACCTTATATAAAATTACCTATATATTATTTTTTTTGTAAATAATAAAATTTTTGTTATTAAAAATTTAAAAATTCTAATTGCAGTAAATTTATTAATATTAAAGAACAGAAGAAGTTTTAAAAATTAAGCAAAAAAGCTTGTAAGTCAAAATAAAATAATAAATTAAGAGTATGACGACTTAGTGAAGTAGTGAAGTTGTCATATCCTCAAATAGTTGAATATAAGATCAATTCCCACTAAAGATGAAAATTAAATTTAAAAAAAATAGATTTGGCAACTATCATTGTGGCTGAAAAAACTCAAGACCCTATAACTGTGATCATACCAATTAATGGTTTACCAGAAACTAGAAAATTTGAGGATACTTGTATAACAAAAAAGTTATACAAGAAATCACAGAAAGCCACAGGGTTGATATAGTGATATAGTGCTTGTTTAGAAAATTCTGAATAGAGAAATAGCACAAATTTTCGATAGTACTACTGGGATAGAATATACCTGAGGTTAATACAACTGAATATAGACTAGGTATCAGGCAAGAGTACTCTACTAACCAGACTGCTGGAGTATCGACCAGAGAAAAAGGATCTGTATGCAAATACCAAGGAACTAGTATCTCTTTTAGGCTATCTTAATTAGTAGTTTGGAGAGATTAACTATGGTAGTACTGAAAAGTGAAGATACCGAGTAGACTTAAAAAAGAGTATTGGGGTTTGGGTGAACTCTATAAGGGCAGAAGTAGGTTGTGTAGTAGTGATTAGACCATAGCATCTAATATAAAAACTGAGACACAAGTAGTGAGCTTCAGTTTGTATATATTAACTGAAGACTAAGTCAGCCAGATTGTGAGTACAAAAGGCTCTAGCAGATTTACTTCAAGGATAAAGGGCTCTTTGGATAAGAGCCTGTCTTAAAGTTCTAAGTTGATATCTAAAAATAAAGAGGTACAAAGTATTCTTGCTCAGTTAATAAAGTAATCACATAGGTGCAGAGGGTTTAAATAGATAATCCTCTAGTTGGGTTATAGGTATGACATCTAGTATAGAACTTAATAATAAGTGAACTATTTAAATAGATAACCAAAAGTTATACATGTGGCTAGTTGTACTCTCCAAATATGTATACAGTATAAAAATTATATTGTAAAAATTATAACTATAATTGAATAAAAAAAACACAACCAAGAGGTCAACTTAACATCAAAAAAAAAATAATAATAATAAATTAAAAAAATATGTTATAAGAAAAACTTTAAAAAACTTTATATAATTGAATTTTTATTACTATGCATTTTGTGAATAGTTATATTAATATATCATAATATAATATTATTGTTCTTAATTAATATAACAAATTTGAAAATAAGATATATATAAATTAATTATACTTTTAAAGTAAAACTTCTTATTAATTTATTATTATACTGTATTTATATATGTAATAAATTATTTAAAATTATATAATTTACTGGTCACAATTCTAACAAATTAGTGCAAAAAACTTCAATAACAGGGGTTCTCTTCACAGTAATTTTAAATTGTGTTTGGTATGATATTAAAAGACTTAACATATTGTACTGTACTATTACTTAAAATTTTTTAAATAGTATATAGTACTCATCTATATTTTATATAATAAAAAGATGTACTGTACAGATACATACTATAGAATGCCAATATTTATATATAGTATAGTACATTCAATAACATCATATAGTATGAATCTTCTACACCCTGATTATAGTATGCCTATATTTATATATATATAGTACAGTATATTCAATTATCTATTTAATTTAGGTAATTGATAGCAGTTAGGCAGTTGGTTGACTTTGATGAGATTTAGCATCTAAGCATTTATTTATCAAATCCAAAAGTAATTGCGGAACTTTGCACCTGATTTCAAGTCTACGACCTAGACAAATTTGTGTTGCTAGGTTAAAATCATGTGGAATATCATGATATGGAGGATATCCAGTAAAAACTTCTGACATGATTATTCCAAAAGAATTATTATCCGATTGCTTAGTATATTTTTCTCCATACAGCACCTTTGGAGCAATATAAGAAAGTACACCAAAAATTTTTTTTTAGAACTTGATCCTTGAGACACTGGTCTACATAATCTAAAATCAGTGTACATATTTTCATTAACTATATTTCCGGAATGAAAGTCTTTATGCACTAAGTTGGCCTCATGGATTGCAGCAAGCCCTTCAGTTATGTAATATAATTTATTTATTTTATGTTGCCAACTTAGATAATTA